AGGGGCTGGGTGAAAGCCCCTTGACCTTGGGCTGGACCTCTGCCTCCTGCTCCTGGCTCACTGAAGCTGGAGGCTTTCTTCACTCAGGCAGCTGCTGGCTGTTCAGGGTGACAAACCCAAGGTCAACAAGTGAAAAGGCACAGTCCTGATGTTACCAAATAACAACTAATTCAAGTCCAGAAAAAGGCCTAAGATCAGCAGGGCATGGCAGAGCTGCTGAACAACGACTTGGCTACATGCAGGGTTCAAGTGTGCCAAAAAGCTGCAGACCGTTCCCAAAGCTGCTTCTTATATACTGGAAGCAGCCCACATCCCTAAGGCAGCTACCCAGCTGCTCCAGTAGAGTCCACCATGGAGCTGATTGCCAGTCTCACCATGGGGAATAACTACATCCAGCTGCCCAGCCACTCAGCCAGGCCCAGCCAAGTTGACAACAACCTTAACTGCCACATGCAATATCCTCTTGTTCTGTTTAAATGACTGCCTCTTGGTCTGTGTACAGGTTCCGCATGAGCACAATTAAGTGTTCTGGAATTCCCAGTCTTTGCAATGTTACTTTTAATTTATTATGATCCACACAGTGAAATGCCTTTGCATAGTCAGTAAGACACAGGTAAATGTCTTTCTGGTATTCTCTGTTTTCAACCAAGATCCATTTGATACGAGCAATGATACCCCTAGTGCCACGTCCTCTTCTGAATCCGGCTTGAATTTCTAGCAGTTTCCTATCTATATACTGCTGCAACCATTTTTTAATTACCTGCAGCAAAATTTTATTTGCATATAAAATTAAATGATATGGGTTGATGAATGACATTAAATGATACAGTTTGATCATTTCTACATTTTGTTGGATCACCATTCTTTGGAATGAGTACAAATACTGATCTCTTCCGGTCAGTTGGCCAGGTAGCTGTCTTCCAAATCTCTTGGCATAGCTGAGCGAGCACTTCCAACGTTGCATCTCTTGGCTTAAATAACTACCCCCATGGATATTCCATTAATTCCCAGAGCCTTGTTTTCCACCAAAGCGTTCAGCGCCGCTTGGGCTTCTTCCTTCGATACCTTCAGTCCCTGATCACGTACAACTTCCTGAAATGGCTGAATGTTGACCAACTGCCCTTGGTACAGAGAATGTGCATTCCTTCCGTCTTCTTTTGATGCCTCCTGCGTCATTCAACATTCTGCTCACGGAATTCTTCAACATTCCAACATGAGACTCGAGTATTTTCTTCAGTTCTTTTATCTTAAGAAGTACTGACTATGTAGGAGATCTTGGATAGAGAGGGAGAACAATGTGGAACAAAACTCAAAATCATTTAGAGAAAAAAAAAGGGGGGAGGGACCAGGTATGCTGGTCTGATAAAACCTGGTGGAACCACTGAGACTATGGCCCCTAGCTGCCCTTCAGGTCTGGAATTGAACCCACACCTGTGGTTACCAGCCAAACAAACTACAGGCATGTGAGTTAAACATTTACCTCAAGTAGATACA